ACAAAAATAAAGAATACACAATTTAGGGCCAGTTTATACAATATTTTAACTGAGATTAAGTTGATCGCGCATTTAACAAGGCCATTAGCGACGTCTGATTGGCGTAGAGTCGGTCACATGGTACTTTAACGCGGTGTTAAAAATTAAATGGCAATTAAATATTTAATTGAGGTTCTGTAAACCGGGTTTAATTATTTTATATACTATTTTAATAATAATAAAACAAGCCGACCGATCGGCTACTAGTCGGTACATCCCTATTGCTTATTAAAAATTAAATTGGACGAAGTCGTCTGTGGGGTGTATAATATGTTGCCTATGCAAAAATTGTTAGGCGTGAACAGATAAAAGGAACACCCTGTATAGTAATTGTATTTTAAGACAAATAGCTATAACACTTATCTACCTGTAGACGTGACGGTGAAACACAAACTAAACTAAAACATGTTTTCTACGAATTGGAATGCCGACGGTCCAGACTTTTCTATTGCTCTGACTTCCGTTTATTGAATAAAATACTACATTTTTTCGGTTTTTGGATGCTGTAATTCACATTTGGTTAATTATAACTTGTATAGATCTAGGGGAGCATCCACTAGCCTCCCCCTAGCCACGGCCATATGAAATATCGTCCTTGGGTTATCCTCGATAAGAAAAACAACTTGGAAGTGTTTATGTTTGTACATCGGAAGAATGTCACGTAGTAAATTAGTTTGATTTGAGTGAGTTCATCCCCTCAAAACAGAGGATCAAAACAATTAACTAGTAAGCTACAATCGACAAAATGTTCTGAATATCATTATTATAATTCTTATTAAATTAAGATGTTTGTATTTTCACATTTTCGGGAATGTTTATTGCTAACTTAGGGGAAAGATTTTATGACTCACACGTTACATCTTTCAAGTAAAATAGAAACAGATTTTGTATTTTGGATATACAAATTTTTACATAAAAATTTTAAAATGATTTCTTGTTTGAGAGTGGTCATTGTCATTTTCTTCAACAGGAACTCCATAGTTGGTGGATAAAACGTTTTTAATTGTAATCGCCACACTCGTATTATATTTAATACATTATTTGGTAAAAAATCTAGCATAATCAAAAATGTATGTTCATATATAATAGCTACAGAAAAACTTTCTAAAAATTTTCATTTTTCGAAAAAAAAAATAAATAAGTTGCCATTTAAAAACATTTCGATGACAATATAATTTAAAACAAAAGACAATCAACATACAATTTTTATGTAGCGATGTAAATGTTGAAAATATTTAGAAAATCGAACTTAAAAATTTAAATCTACACATTGCAAAATTAAATGCAAAAATTAACTATCATGTTTTTTTAAAGCAGAATGCCTCGTTTTATTATAAAATGGACAAAAAGGGTAAATTATATATAAATAGGGAACATGTATATTATTACCAAATGCAAGGCCAGTTGCACATAGCGAAAAGGAAAGCTTGTATTTTTCCCATTTGGACACTCAAAGGGGTTTAAATCACATACGTTCCATATGACGAAGAATTTTGTAAAAAAATGGTTCAACAACTCCAAAATTTTTATTATGAATGCGTTCTTCAGGGATTTGTTGATCCTAGGAGACGTAGGCGATTATCTATTCGAAAATTTTGATTATATTTTAAAAGCACACAGAGAAAAAAGGCACTAAAATTTAAAAAACAACTTTAATTCTAAGTTTAATAAAACTGATGAGTATTACTTCCCGACCGTAAGCAAAGGAAGCATTGGAATCGAGTCTGTCGGCCGACTCTATTTTTGCATTTTCTCGACCTGTCATGACCCATAGAGGACGAAGAAATAGGTCTCCCGTTTCTGTCTGTCTGTCCGTCTGTCCGTCTGTCCGTCTGTTCGTTTGTCCGTCTGTCTGCCGTTCCGGATTTTCATTAGACAGATAATCTCCGAAAGTACTGGGCCGATTGCTGTCAAATTTTGCATTTATATTAGGCATATCATGTAGATGGTAAAACGTTAACCAAAATTTGTTTAATCACATTGTCACTTCAAAATTGTATGTACATAGTAAATCCCTTACGTCATCGATGGTTAAATTAACCAATTCTTCCCTTCGACATCCCCAAAAATACCATAATTGAAAAGACCTTCATCAATAAGTAGTTGACATCGTTGGCTTCGTTCAAAAATTTTACTACATCGTTGTAAGATAATACCTTTGATTTTTTTGGTGTATGATCGACCATTTTCCTCTTGATGTATTGGTATAATTCTCCATATCTAGGTCAATTTTGGTTATTTATTATCAAAAATCAATTATAAATATTTACCTTTTCATGTCCACCTTTTCATGAATTTGTAGGTAGCTCCTTATTATGGAAAAGTACGACCACACCCTTGAATTCTTACAATTATCTTCAAAATAGGCAAGCATTACCCGTTCATCAACACCAACAATGTGATTTTTCTCCGGCCAAGTACAAAATGTCTTGTATTCTTTTAAATATCTTCCCGAAGATTTTCCTGGTAGAAAATTCAATCTAGCGATTTTGGGACAAATCCATTTTAAAGCAAAAATTAAATTGAAGAAATTTGATTGTTTAGGTGCTGCCTTCGCTTGAGCAACAAGCAATACACATGCGATGATTTTCACTTTATGCACCACCCAAACCGACGCGACGTATCCGATAAAATTTTTGTTTTCATGAATTTTTGAAATTGTAGTATCCTAAAAAAATCTTGTACAATATACGACCGGTAGCATTTTTTGGCCTTGCCAAACACACAGTAAAGTTTTGGCGCTGTCATAAAAATGCTGCTACTGGTCTAACATCGTAAATAGCTATTTTGTGATAGTTAGCAAATTGATCTAAATGTGGGTACATAATCAAACGAAGATGAAGGAAGGAAGGAAAATATTTTGGCTTTTAACCATCTGAAAATTTAACAAAAATCACTCCAATTTTAGAAATTGTTAAATCATAAAGTCAGGATATAAGCTTGGACATGCAGACAGCACTTAGACGATAAATACATGAAAATTGGCATAAACAAGTTGTAGAACGTCGAAAAACAAACCATAAAATTAAACATATCTCAAAACTATTCTAGTAGAATAATTATTATATTAGTTTAAACTTAGGAATTAATAATAAAAAACCGAATAATGTCAGGTTAAAACTATAACAAATGAATGTCTGTTCTGAAAAAAAAAACAAGATAATATTGTTGATTATATAACCAACTAGCTTTTCGCCCGCGGCTTCACTCGCGTAGATGATTTGTTGAAGAGCATTATTACTAAGCTTCAAGTAAAACAATGTGTTGAAGGACATTAATACAAAGTTTTCAGTAAAACTCGACATAAAAATATTTTTCCTTACACAAACTTTGTCACCCCTTTCATCTCGTTAAGGGTGGAATCTCTAAAAAAATCTGAAATACGTAATTCATTATTTGTGTTAAAGAGTATTAATCCAAGTTCCAAATAAAAATTTACAGTAGAAATATTTTCTCATGCAAACTTCGTCACCACTTTTCACCCCTTTTGGGGTTGAATCTCGGAAAATGCTTAAACACGTGTTTCATTAATTGTGTTGAAGATCATTAATACCAAGTTTCACGTAAAAATTTAAAATTACAATTGAAATATTTTTCCTATACAAAGTTAGCCATTAGCATTAATGCCAAGTTTCAGGTAAAAATTCCAATCTTTAGTAGAAATATTATTCCTATACAAACTTGGCCCCCCAAACTTACACACCACTTTTCACCCCTTTAGGGGCTGAATCTCCGAAAATGCCTAAATACGTGTTTGATTGTTTGTATTGAAGAGCATTAATACTAGGTTTTAAGAAAACATTACCATAAAAATATTTTTCCCATAGGCACCCCTTTTAACCCTCTTAGGGGTTGAATCTAAGAAAATACTGAAATACGTCTTTCATTATTTGTGTGAAGAACATTGATACCAAGTTTCACGTAAAAATTTAAATTAACATAACAGTAGAAATATTGGTCTATACAAATTTTACCACCATTTTTCACCCCCTTAGGTGCTGAATTTCGAGAAATCCCTTCTTAAACAACGCCTCCAGTATAAAATGAACATTCTCTCCAAATTTCAACTTTCTAGCATTAGCGGTTTGAGCTGGGCGTTGATAGGTCAGTTGGGACATTGCCTTTTATACCGTGGGTTTTTTTTTTCTGAACATTACAACTATAGCCTAGAAAATACATAGTATCGTCATCGTGGAGCAAACCTGGCGGAAACTTAATAAAAACAAGAATTATAAACACTATTTGACAGAGTGCGAAATTTAAAATGGTTTTATGTTGGATTTAAAGTTTGTAGTTTATATACAAAATATGGAGTTTTAATTTGAATAAAATATAAAATTTAATCAATAAAATCTTATTTAATAATTATTAGTTATATTAATTGACTTTAAACAAAAAGACCACCCCAAGACCACGTGACAACAACGGTTTACGCGCTGTCAACTCTCTGCTGTTCCCTGCTGCTGACACAATTTGGTTCCAAACCAGGCGAATTTTTTGCGTTACCAACTGCATTTGCTCCACTCGTACAACAATGGATGACGGTACTATGTATTTCTAGGGGCTATAATTACAACATTACAAGAATAATTAATGTTAAGTTGGTTGCATACCTGCTTATAATGGCACAGATTACGGATACCAGATGGTTCACTTGTGGGCGTAACTGTCCGCAACTTTTCCGTGCGCATGACACTAAAATTGGTTCAGCACTTTTAAATCTCTTTGAAACTGGTTCGACAGATTAACACGCAAAATAATATTTACAATGAAGCAGATATAAGAATAAAAGTTTAGGTAATAATTCAGGGAATAAATAACATACAAGGATTAATTTCTACGTTTTTTGGTTACGAAGGGATTTTTTAAAAGTTTTAAAATAATCAGAAAATTAGTTAAATAAATACCTACCTGCATTAAACTGTATTGTAGTATCGTTTAGTAAATATATCTTGTCTATAATGCCTGATTTTGTAAATGAATAAGAGAGTAAAACATTTTCCCTTCTTTTCCTTTAAACTCGTTTCAGTCATTTACGGACAAACTATTTGTCAACTGTTTAACAACAAAGTTCAGAAAGGCAAGCGCAGCAAATTTCATTAACTATTCCCTCCAATTCTTCTAACTTTCGGTAACCCTTTAAGCCGTATAGTTAAAGAGGTTACGTTTATTCACCATGCAAAAATTTTAACACCACTTTCTTGTTAGCACTATATTCGAGAGTCCGTGTTTTTTATGCTCTAAAATTTTTTAATGCCGATGCATGTGTCCGCAATTCTTTTCAGAGGAAATTGTGAAATGTTAAGCATTTGTAATAATCATAAATCATTTTGTGTAAACCAAAAAAGTATTTTGTTCGTTTTTTCTTCACTTAGAACCTCATCCCTTGCATCGTCGCTGTAATTTTTCTCTGACCGCCGCGCTTTTAAATTCAAAGCTTGCGAACCAATTTTGGTAGAGCGTGCGTAGTAGCGTGAATACCGCTTGAAATCTCGGGACACCGACTTCAAAGTGCCGACAGCTGAGTGAACTATCTGGTATCCGTAATCTGTGATAATGGATTGACTTGGACTTTTAAAAACTGAACATAAAATCTAATCGAGATTTAGGATATGTCAAAGATATTGCCATTGACATTTGGCACTACTGTATTGATGGTATTGTAATAAGTACAAGTTTAAAGAACACAAAATTTACATTATTGACCTTTTTAAAACAATTTCGTCAAAAATGTTACTGTAAATGTCATCGTTGACATGTCCTACTCCTCAGTTATTACGAATCTTATGTGAACTTATGTTCAGTTTTTTAAAAGTTGAAATCAATCCATTGGAGGACGAATATGCAACCCAACATACATTAATTATCCTATGTTCAGAGAAAAAAAAACCTCACGGTATATAAAGGTTAGCACTACCAAGCATTAGAGACTATCTGGTTATTTTTATACACATAAGTACATCACATTCTTTCTTTCACTTGTCAATAACTTTCATCACGATGTTATCAGGGTTTCCTGTTATTTATTGATTATCTAAATTCAACCAAAAAGATATAATTTAACTTTTAGAAAGTATTATGTCAGGTGTTACTGTGGCAAACTTATTATTTATACCATGCTATGGCTTTGTACATTGACGACATTATTCTGTTTTTGTCGATTTCATTAAAATTTTTGTATTAAATGATATCTTAACACTTTCACTCACATTGACCCATAAGAACGAAGGAAGTGTTTAAAACACTGGTATCCATCATTTATAAAAATCTGATGATTCCTGGCGATGTCGTACTTTCAGATTGAAAATTTTGTCTGTTGGACTCCACGCCTTACCTATGCCTTAATTAGTAATTACAGCGCAAAATCCGGAATGTTTATATAGAGCTTCCATGACTCATATTCAGCATATCTTTTATTCAGCCTTTTTCACTCTGTCTAACTGTCTAATTACATGAACTGCAAAACATTGAGTTCAAAACTGACAATTTTGTTCAAACAATGTATAAAGCAATATACCTATTTCTTGGTACAGTAAATTCTTTGCATAAGTTGACAATAAACTTTTTTTCATTTAGAGAACCTTAGTTTTATTAAAAACCAACAGTACAAAATCTGATAACTTTGAAAATGCTGAGCAATATTTCTTTAATTATGTTAGGATAGCAATGTAAAATTAAAAAAAGTTTTTGGTATTCCTAAGTGATTAAATTCTTGTTTAAATGTATTCTATCTCTTAAATAGCCAAATAGTGAAAAATCTTATGCTGTAGTACCTATTAGGTGAATGTGGTATAACTTATTCTAGATTAAGCCTCAGGCTTAATTCGAGTGACATAACAATGTTGTAAATAAGCCAGTGTTAAATCTGTTGTGTGTGCTGCTGCACCATCCCGTTATAATTCACCTAAACAAGGTTCTTCAACATCCAGTACGGTTGTAAAAATTTTTGCATGTAGCATTAACCAATACTCTTGATGGTGAACAAAATAATTATTAGTACCAATCAATTTTTTTTAACTTTTATGAACAAAGAGAGAAACGTTTATATATTTACAATATTATTTAAAAAGAAACTTTTTCATATTTTTGAATTGACGAAGCATATATCGAGTGACTACTAATGCTGATGATTTTTTTAACAGATTGGGCATTGGGGACATATTATCTAAAACTTTACGAAGGCTTAACTGATGTGAAATTAAAATTTTGGGACTAATTCAGTAGCTGCCACTTTCTCATTGGTTTTTCAGCGCGCTTATGTCAAAAGTGAACTGTGAACTGACATGCTAACATTGTTGCCAATAATTCAGAATTGTCAACCCAAAAATTTGCTTCATCATTCTCGGTACTTATTGGAACTCCATTACAAATTTATACAAAAAAACTAATGAAATTAACTCCAAACCAATATATTTGTACGATATTGCTGCGCTTATTTCGGTATAGCTATTAGCCACAGTACTCTGATCAGGTAGATGAACTTTGCAACTTATATAATTATTTTGGTTTACATTCTTATACATAACAAATTGTACAAAGTGTTATCATACGAACTATCTTGTTTTAAATAAAATCACGCCGGATGTGATGTGTTTATTGAATTGAATCGAATCCCGCCGATATACATCTCAAGTATATGTATTTCAAAAATACATACAATATGATAAGTACAAAAATACTTTAAACGCTACTATAAAAGAGCCGGTCAACACCAAGAAACAATCAATAAGCAAAATGTTTCGGTTTGTCTTTCTTTGTTTGTACGCATCATCAATCTGGGCTTTGCCTTCGCCAAAAGGCTATTCCAGGGTCCTGCCCTTTAAAATGAATCGTTGGTATTATGTATATCAATAATTGAATTCTTCAGGTCACAGCATTTTTAATGGAGAACAAGCTGCAGAAGGTCAATTTCCTTGGCAAGTTGGGTTGTACCTAAACGGTTTTTGGTTCTGCGGAGGTACTATAATCAGCGAAGAATCATCTGCTGGGCATTGCATCACCGGGTAACACAATATACATTACCTAAAACCATAAACCTTTTTTTTTTTCAAGGCTGAGTCTGCAGAAGTAGTATTTGGATCCACTGACATTGAAGCTGGTGAATCTGTGACGGCGTCTCAATTTATCCTTCATGAAGGCTACGATGAAGATATATTTGCGAATGATATTGGATTAATCAAGCTTGAAACACCTTTGACCCTGGGTGGTAAAATTCACAAGAGCTGGTCCACTAGTCACTATTTTGTAGAATTTTTGTGTAGAGAATGTCGGTACTGTCAACTTAGCTTCTGAAGAACTTGATGGTGACGTTAATGTCACGGTCAGCGGCTGGGGTGTCACAAAATCAAACGCACAATTTTTAGTCTTATTACTATCATTTTTTTGTTATCATAGATGGGATTTTCATAAGAAAATATTTGAATTTCGTTGAGCTGGTCACTATTACGAACGAAGAATGTGGAGAGATCTATGGACAAGACGTAATTCGGCCTGAAATGGTTTGTGCTACTTCTCCTGTATCTCAGGTTAAAGGCACTTGTAATGTAAGTATATTTTGAATTTTTGGTATTGCCTTTTCAAAGATTTCTTTTTTTTTTTTGTTTAGGGTGATAGTGGTGGTCCAATGGTGATTAATGCAGATTCAGATCCAGTTCATGTAGCTGTTGTCAGTTTTATGGGCGACGATGTATGCGAAACCGGGACACCTTCCGGGTTCGTCAGAACGGCGTATTATAGAGACTGGATCAAAACAAAAACCGGAGTTTAAAGATATAACTAATTTCGAAGATGTATCAGTCTATAAATATAGCAGTACTCGTAAATATGTGTATGCATTATTTTTCCAGCAAATATATTTATTTTTAGACAGCAAGCATTTATATAAACGATAGACAAATAAGGTCGACGGCACTGAAATTGTAATTTTTGTTACTACAAGCATGTTGACATGTTTCGGTACCTACTTGTAGCGTTATCATTCATCAGAGTTAAACAACAAATAATGTTAGTTATTAGTTTACAAAATTTAATTGAAGAATTGTAAAAATTATTAATGTTATAAGTAATAATTTTGATCGTTTAAAACTTTTTCTTTAAGAGAAGGAAATCTTAAATATGAAGCACGCAATCAGTGGAACCCAGGTATCTATTACTCCTAAACTGCGGACTTTAGAAATCATATATCTAGAAAATGTATTCAGAATAAAAGAGAGACGAAAGATGCTGTTTTCTCTCTCTATCGTGCCCAAGGATCATTGTGTATGTATTCAAATTAACCGTGGTCAGTTGAACGCTACAGGAAAAAATGATGTGTTGAATCGTTTAAGACTTTTCTTTATAAAGTTGACGATTATCGTTTCTTGTCGTTGAACTTTTCCTGTGATTTTTTTTATTAATTATTATTTGACATTCAAGCGCAAATGCAAAGCTTTGTGTTTCGACACACAAATTGGATTTTTACAATCAACTAAATGACATTTTCTGTTTCCATGATCTTCGTCTAAATTTTAGGGAATTTTCCATCCAGTTACTTTTAGTTTTGTTACCTAACTATAAACTGTCTAATTGATTCTTTAAAATAATATATCTAGCCATTTTAACGTTTGTTCCTCAAATGTTAAGAAAAAACTGAACTGGTAATTGGAAGTATTGTTGTGCTATCAAAAATGAGATTATATCACTCTTCCATCATGTCGTCAATAAACATGAAATCAACATAATTAATTGCTATAAACGGAGTAATATAAAAAATGATCGAAAAAAGTGTTCTAGATTTTCCTCATTCTTGTTTTGTATACCTATTATAGAACAACAGTTTCTACTGAAAAATCTTTGAAGTTTTAGTCTAACATTTACTGGACTCCACCCATTAACTGAATGCGTCATTCCCAAAGGCGGCCCGGCCTCTATTTAAACCCATACTTGCCTTCTAGATATGTCGCGATCGAGGTTTTACCCATCGCGATATCCGCTTCCGTCGTATTGGGCCGGTATATGGGTATATTTCGTAACCTTATATATACAAGTTGTTTGAAAATTTAATCGTGTGTATGAATTTGTTTAATTTTATAGGTGTGTCTTGAAGCAAGACAACACAAAAGTTTTGTGTGAAATTTCAAGCCTTTGAATATCTATGACTAATTTTTTCATGAAATTGCAACTAATTTGGAAACCGTTAATGAAAAAACTCGGTATTGTATCTGTAAAAATATGTACTTATTTCGATCTTCTGAATGATGATCGCGAAGTTTACTGAAGATGATGCAGTAGTCACCAGATTCGAAAATTATTTGTCTGATTAAATTGCTAGATTGATGGCATGTAGACAACACATAGACGAAAACAGGAAACTAATGTTTTTATAACCCATGAAGCGTCAAAAAAATGTGAGATCATATCTTTTTAAACTCAATACATACACTTAGGAAATATTAGAAAGCCGAATAGTATCAAGTTTTAGACTTGAATGAGTCAAGCACGATCCCGCTTTAAACATTAATGAGTAGCTATAATATAGTATTGCACCATATCAACCCAAAGAATAATGGGAGCTATTTCATTTTTTTAATCAAAGATATTACATTTTGTTCATCTTGGTAGAATTAAAACAAATTTAAACAAGACATTATCTAGACTCCTTTTTACTTCCCGAGCGTAAGCAAAGGAAGTATTGTAATCGAGTCCGTCGGCCGACTCTCTACTTTTACGTTTTCTCGATCTTTCATGACCCCTAGAAGACGAAGAAATAGGTCTCCCATTTCCGTCTGTCTGTCCGTCTGTCCGTCTGTCCGTCTGTCCGTCTGTCCGTCTGTCCGTCTGTCCGTCTGTCCGTCCGTCTGTCCGTCCGTCTGTCCGTCTGCCGTCCCGGATTTTTATTAGACAGATAATCTCCGAAAGTACTCGACCGATTGTTGTGAAATTTTGTACTTATATTAAGAATATCATGTAGATGGTAAAACGCTAACCAAAATTTGTCTAATCATCCCCACCACTAATGCGATGACGTCACTTCAAAATTGTACATAGTAAATGGGTTTTCAATTGTATAAAATAACATAGTCCTACACATGTAGTTTACAACTCCGAATCGACTTTTCACCCGAAACGTCCAGATTTTTGGAAAAAAAATCAAAATTATAAAACAACATTTTGAAATTTAATTTTTAATCTGCTAACCAGAATGCTTTGAAATGTTGCAGATGTTTTAAGGCTATAAAGAGCATCATAAATCTTTAGTCAAAAAATATTTGCTTATCCCCTCCAAAAACTTGATGACGTCAGCTCAAAAGTTTGTGGAATAAATCCTATCTAAAATGCAAAAAATATGATGAGTTTGTACTTGTGATTTATCATTCCATTCATATTTTTTAGATTTTCTTAAGAGGTGGTTTAAAAAAATTAATGAAGTCAATTTATTTTATTGATTAAATTAAAGGCAACACTTATTATTAGTATTACACCCCAACCAACCCAATTTGGTAGACACAAAATTTGTTAAAGGAAAAACTCGGTTGAAACATAAGGGTAGCACGCTTATTTACATCTATTTTAACATTACAGACGTGCGTTTGTTTTGTTCGTTGACTAGGTTCCGCGAATGTGGAATAGACATGTTTATAATCAATCAATTGTGAATTTCACCGTCAAGAATTAAAATAAAACCCAATGTTTTATATAATAAGCGGAAGTCGAAGCAATAAAACCGATGGTCGTTTTGTTTACAGTTTCTCTGTTTGACTCTCACGTATGCTGTTACGCTTGTTATCTTAAATTAAGAATGTTTATACATAAACGATTTTCAGTTGCCCCTCATATTACTAGACAGCGGATTTCTGTCGGGCTACGTCACGATTATAGGGGGGGACGTGCTGGATTCCATAAATATAATTAACGATTTATTAATCAAACGGCTAAGTAAATGAGAACGGGAATTAACAGCAGAGTGCAACGAAACAACGTTATTCTAATCTCAAATAAACGAAGTGCAGTCCGCAACGGCCATGAATTCGCATCCCGTGCGAGCCGTACCGAGTTTGGCCTTGCCTAGCCCGACAGAAATCCGCTCTCTAGATATTACACACCGGCGCCGTATACGTGAGTAAATTGTTTCGTTATTTTATTGATTATAAGAAATCAATATTCAAAACGACCCAATTCATTTTCCCGAAAATTTGGGAACACAATAATTTTATTCTTAGTATTACACTACATCTATCCCAACTGATATACGTGTCCTTGCAAAAATGTTGATGACGTCATCACAATTTTTTTTTAAATTCCCACTACAAAAATGTAATGAGAAAAAAAAACATAATAGGCATGCAGTCGTCAAGTTTCCGACAGCGAGGGAAGTACTGTCTAAACTCTTTAGACCAATTTTTTTACTGGCTAGCTAAATTTAACGTGTCTTGACTTTTCAAGGATATTGTTTCAGACGTTTGTACAGATGTGGAGTACACAATTAGATAAATGGACGAGAAGAAATCTTGTGATTTTTAAGTAAGTTTTTGGATTTAACACATAGTTTTAACACGCCATGTAACTTAGAAAATAAAATGTTCCTTTTTTTTCTTTTGTGTGTATAACATCGTGTGGCTTAGTTTCCTTACAGAGTATTCAAATAATTAAACAAACCTCTGATTGAATGTTTTCTTGACGTTTCCCAGGTTGAGAATACAGATATGTCGGTTTTGGATTTCCGTCTCTCTCCAGTTTGTTTATCCCTCGCATGTTTGATGGTTAAACGGGGAAAACTAGAATCTCTGGTACTCATCAAGAAAACGTCTAATAGTATTTGCAACGCTGACCAAATTACTTTGAATAGTGAGAAAGAGAAATTCAAAGAATTATCTCAAAAACTAGTACCTAAACAAGATTCAATCATTTTCGACAGTGATGTACATCCAGAAGCATCTTGATGGAAAAATTATGTTGTTCTTTAGTTTATTGATTAGAATTTAAATTATTAGTGATTGCCATTTGGTTGTGCTAATTTTAACCTTCCAAATGTTCTGTTGCGGCATTACGAAGTTCTTAAGTTTTGTTTGCTCATGCAGCCAAAAATAATTCAAGATTTTGTTTATTAACTACGTTTGGGAACATAAATCTACAGGTTATTTTTGTAGTTAATATTAAACAATTTCATATGTGGTGGAAGTTATTTGAGAATGTTGAAATGAGTAGTTAGAATCCAAATGCCACGAATTAATGGACGTGAGAGGAAATTGTCAGTTGCTTCGAGTTGCAATTCACAAGACACTTAAAAAATAATAATAATATACATTTTCTTAAATCTTGTATGTGAAACGTCGATTGTGTTGTGTTAACCTTAATAATAACTACTTATCTATGAACAGTTATTATGAACCAAGTGGAAATTTTATAACTAAAGGGTAAAGATAAACTGTTATCACAATTTTATCATAATTATTTCAGTTTTCGCTTTTTAACCACTTTAAAGAAAGAGTTATAATATATATCTATACTTTGTGCCAAACCTGACCGCACCGGATATGAGATGATTATCGAACTGAATTGAATCCACTAGACATACATCTCAAGTAGGTACATACAGAAACACGTGTACATGACAGGTACAAAGAACACAAAAAATGTACTATAAAAGCTTCAATCAATACAAATAAAAAGTTAGTTAACAAGATGTTTCGATTTGTTTTTCTTTGCTTGTGGGCATCATCAATTTGGGCTTTGCCTTCCCCAACAGGCCATTCGATGGTGTCGGCTTTTAAAGTCAAAGGTAGTAGTAATTCAAAATCTTTATTATACACGTAATAATAAATACTAACATTTAAATTATTCAGGTCCAAGAATTATTAACGGAGAACAAGCCGCAGAAGGTCAGTTTCCATGGCAAGTTGGTTTGTACATTGACGGCATGTGGTTCTGCGGGGGTAGTATAATCAGCGAGGAATGGATTCTAACTGCTGGACATTGCGTCGACGGGTAACACAAAGTAGACATATTATCAAAAGCCGTAAAACTTATTTGCTTTGTCAGGGCTCGGTCCGCTGAAGTCATAACTGGATCCACTGACATACAATCCGGTGAATCTTCAACGGCATCTCAATTTATCCTTCACGAAGATTATGATGAAGATCTAACAGCGAACGATATTGGATTAATCAAGCTTGACAAACCTTTGACTCTGGGCGGTAAGACCTAAAACAGCTGGTCGGTTACTATTTACTTACTATGCAAAGTTTTGATATAGGAAATGTAGCTGCTATCAACTTGGCTTCTGACGAACTTCAAGCCGATTTTGATATTACGGTCAGCGGTTGGGGTCTAACCAGCGATGGTCAGAAAATCAAACACACAATTTTTATCATCGTAATCATTATTTTCTTTTCTTAGATTCACTTTTCATAAGCCAATATTTGAATTTCGTTGAGTTGGTTACTATTACGAACGAAGAATGTGAAGAGACTTACGGAAAAGGAACAATTCGACCTGAAATGATTTGCGCTAATTCTCCTGTTTCTGAAGTTAAAAGCACTTGCAGTGTAAGAATATTTTGCGTTTTTCATAATGTCTTTTCATCTAATGTTGTTGCTTAGGGTGACAGCGGTGGTCCAGTGGTTGTCAATGCAGATTCAGATCCAGTTCATGTGGCTATAGTCAGTTTTGGTAGCGATGCAGGATGCGAAAGCGGTAGTCCTTCTGGGTATACCAGGACAGCGTATTACAGAGACTGGATCAAAACGAATACTGGAGTTTAAAATTAAAAATGTTCTAAAAGATTTGCTATTCTCTGAATAAACACATTAATATGCATAATTTGTTTTTGTGCTACCTCTATTTAATAATTATAATTGCAAAAGCAGTGGTGTTGATACTTATCATCCAAATGTTTTTCTCCATTTCAATCACCAGTTTTAGGATAGTGGAACTTAGTAAATTTTGGCATTATAACTGACAAGTGATTATGTTTTGCATGAACTGAGTCGCATAACTTCTGTTAAATATTAGCTCCGGTTATTCTATGATTGCAGTATTTGTAAACATTTATTAAAACGTGTTTGTAAATAACGATTATTGAAAAATATGAGGCGAGGTAAAAACGATTTGGCTAGTCGATATAATAGTCTTCAATTTCGGAAAAATTTGTTTTAAACTTTTATAGAAAAGACTTTTTATTTTAAGACAATCCATAATAACATTAAAACATAAAAATGTTATTAATAATAATAATATACATAGTTTCTTTCGAGACTATACTCGGAAATTATTTTTAACTACACAAAATTCGGTTTTAAAGACGTAACATACAACTTAGTTTTTTAAATGAAACACCTAATATTTTTTACGTATTTTGATTGACCTTTTCTCAGGTTTTGCAAGCACAGTTTACTTTTGAAATTCTGATGCAACGTTGGCACGTTACTCCAATTTTCTTGAATGGAAGGATTCACAAAAAATAAATAATAGTTTAAAAAACTAAAAAAACACGCTTTTATTGCTAATCGAACTAAAAACTAGAAAATAATTTTTAATGACAGAGTTTAATATTACAGTAGTAGAAGATCAAACAATCAATCATAATAAATCACCTCAAATTAAAATTATAATAAAATTTAAGTTATTAACAGAATAATTCAATTCAGAGTAAAAAGCGTGGGGTGCTTGATATTTTAAATATTACAATCATTCTATTGGCAACTATCTATGAGAGGATAGTTATGAACCGCAGTAAAATGCACCCCACGCTTTTTACTCTGAATTGAATTATTCTGTTAATAACTTAAATTTTATTATAATTTTAATTTGAGGTGATTTATTATGATTGATTGTTTGATCTTCTACTACTGTAATATTAAACTCTGTCATTAAAAATTATTTTCTCGTTTTTAGTTCGATTAGCAATAAAAGCGTGTTTTTTTAGTTTTTTAAACTATTATTTATTTTTCATTTTTTAGTCTGCGACAAATTCATAAATTGGGGAATTAATTACTTATTTAGATTTTTCTAGAAAGAACCACTCAGTGGTCTCCGTATGATCGATCAACGGGAATGAGTTCGAAATCAATCGCCCTCACGGACCAACGGGACACAATTCATCATTGTGGTTAGTTTTACCCCCCAAATAGTTAATTTTCCTCCATGTTTGTATTTCTGAATCAAAATTTGTTATCTTTATTTAAGTTGGTGAGAATTCATGATTAGATATGTTTTAATTATAATTAATTCCTTCTTTACCTACTGTAAAACCAAAGCTATGCAGAAATTGTCCTTGAAACAGAAATAATCGGTATAGATCGGTATAATCGACACGGAGAGAGATAACCGTGGTATATACTGACACAATTAAGATGCGATCAGCCATTTTTGCACACGTTTAGTTAATTAAAAGTCCGTTCTTGTTTTTTTCATTTAATATCCGTTATTTGTATTTTAATCAAGACTATAATTACAACGAAGAGTAAACCTGATACTACAGGCATGCGCAGATCGCGCGCTAGCTTTATCTCTTTTACTCCACTACACAGGATCCATAAAAGAATTTATAAATCCTGGCGGTCCTAATAAGGATAATGGGAAACTGTTATCAAATTATTGCATTGTCATCGATCCTTGAGACGTGTGCAAAGTTTCAAGATGATCAGACTTTTAGAAACCGATGAAAATTAAGCTCAAAGATTCCGTTACATACATACATAGATACATACAACCCAAGCTAATAAAAGCGTGATAAAAATCGCAGTAGGTTTATTCTTAAAATTTGTGTTACGTTTTTCGTGAGAGATAGATAAAGGTAGGCGCTTTGTTATGGTGTAATTAAAATTAAATTTTCATATACAGAGTGTTATGATGATCAAATTTTATCAAGTCAAGGTAAGAAAAAGCAATAATAATAACAATATTTCTCAATTATAAATAAATAATTAATATAAATATAGTGTAACTAATAAAAAACATGGACAAACATTAACAATATTTACATAATGTTGCAGTTCGGAGACGATACAAATTTTTCAACAGAATAGTTAGTATGATTGAATAATAAACTTTTCGTGTTTTTTAAAATTGAATGAATTTTTTGATAGATTTAATCGATTTTGGGAAAATACTGAAACATTTGCATCCAGAAAAATATAGAAGGCTTTTATTGCTACATATTTTTTAGGTAATAATTTATTTTTTCTTCGCTTGTCGCAATTATGTTGGCTTCTAGTTTTAGTAAATGTATGTGAATATTACGTTACGTACATAGTAAGTAAGTGATTACTGCAGTAGTAATATGTCAACAAACTTTTGAAAAAGAAACAAATTTCAGTATAAAAATGCGTGAAAATGTTCCACTTAACTCATTACCTGTGAAATCTCAAAAGTGTATGTTTCGTTCCAAGAGTGGAAGAATAAAAAAAGCATAGCGGAACTTACCGAAGATGTCATTTTAGCTTTTCTTGATATGACAGTAAGTGTTCGTAGTAAGATACGTAGAACGTCTTTGAAAAGATAATTAATAACAGGCTTACGGTTGTAAAACTTGTCACCAGCTTCCTTGTGGCCCCATTTAAAGAAATTAAGTGTTGGTTATCGTTGTAAAAAACCGAAGGTCCTGTCATAAGAAGAAATAACAACATTTCTAGAGCAAGCAAATGATATTTATTTATAAAATAAATAATAAATAAAAGTAATAAGTATAGAATTGTTTGGGTTGCTTTAATCTTCGGAATTGCTGCGGCCTGCAGCAACAATAGTATTGTGCGTTTTGGAATTCATTAACATAAGGATGGTGGCAATGTACTGAATGTTGCTATTCCTGATAGTAGGACTCATAAGGAAAGAAGATTCTATATAATTAAGGTCGATGGGGTTACACCAAGGTGTAACCCCATCGAACTCTATCGACGTTATGCAACTTTAGGCCCAAGAGATTCACCTTCAAGATTTTTTATACATTACCGTAAGGGCAAGTGTAGTTGACAAAATGTAAGAATTAACTCCTTCGGAAAAATTTCTAGGAAAATTACAACTTTTCTTAAACTGGAAAATCCAACAAAATTATACTCGTTATTATTTTCGTCGCACTTCGGCAATTTTTTTGATTAATGCAGGTGTTGTGTAGTACGTTTATGCAGGACATGTTACTTCATTAAAGCAATACGGAGGATGGGAACCGTCAAAGGTGGTGAAGTTTTATATAGAAGAATCATTTGCAGAAAGAGTAAATAAAGATGGTCACACTAAACTTTTAATATTTTGCGAAAATATTGTAAAAATAAAGAATAAAACCTTTCTTGAATCATATGCAGAAGCTTAAACTGCTATAAGATACATTGCCATAGACGACTTATTTTATAGCCAAAATCGTATTTTATGAAAATCAAAACGAAGGTACTTCTAGAATAAAATCACTCCAGGAAATTTTTGAAGAGTGTAGGGCCCCAAATTTCTCTTTTTCAAACTGTAGTGTAAAAATAAATGTTGGTACTAATAAAAAAAATGCAAAATAATGTCAATCATAATTATTGATTTTACAATATTGTAATTACAATTTACAGTTATTGTAATCGAAGAAAAAGTATAGTATGCAACGGGGTTGGAATGGCTATTCTGAACTCGTAGGACCGTCTCCAATTTTTCACTCGTGCAGAATATGCCACATTCCAACCACTTGCAGTATACTGCTGCACTTATGCGTATATAGTGCCTTGATCAGGCAGATGAACTTTGCAGCTTGCATAACTAATTTGATTCTTATAATCATTTGTCCAAAATGTTATCATAGATACTATCTCGTTTTAAATAAAATCACGCCGGATGCGGTGTGTCTATTAAATTGAATTCAAGCCCTTAGATATACATCTCAAGTATGTCTACAGAAAAAACGTGTAATGTGATAAGTACAAAAATCACTTAAAATGCTACTATAAAAGAGTCGGCTATCCAGAAGAAACAGTCAGTAAGCAAAATGTTTCGCTTTGCCTTTCTTTATTTGTGCGCATCATCAGTCTGGGCTTTGCCTTCCCCAGCAGGTATTTACAAGGTGCCGCCCTTTAAACTTAATGGTTAGTCTTTTACGGTTTTTGTTATACAGATAGGTATTAAATGATAATTAAATTATTCCCAGGTCCCAGAATTATTAACGGAGAGCAAGCCGCGGAAGGACAATTTCCTTGGCAAGTTGGGTTGAACGTAAACGACTTTTGGTTTTGCGGAGGCAGTATAATCAGCGAAGAATGGATCCTAACTGCTGGGCATTGCGTCGACGGGTAAGTCAGAGCACATTAACCAAAATTATAACAATTATTTGATTTATCAGGGCTGAATCGGCTGAAGTCGTAATTGGATCCACTGATATAGATGCCGGCGAAACTGTAACAGCCTCTCAATTTATCCTTCACGAAGATTATGATGGAGACCTAATCGCGAATGATATTGGATTAATCAAGCTTGACAAGCCTTTGACTCTGAGTGGTAAGACCCACAAGATCTAATCGTATACTATAGTTAATATGTAAAATTTTGGTGTAGGAAATATCGCTGCTGTCAACTTGGCCTCTGAAGAACTTAATGCCGACGTTGATGTTACGGTCAGCGGTTGGGGTCATACCAGCGATGGTTAGAAAATGAAAATGACAGTTTTTAGATCACAATCATTATTTTGTTTTCTTAGATTCACTTTTTATAAGCCAATACCTGAATTTCGTTGAATTGGTTACCATTACTAACGAAAAATGTGGAGAGACGTATGGACAAGACGTAATTCGACCTGAAATGGTTTGTGCTACTTCTCCTGTATCTCAAGTTAAAAGCACCTGCAGTGTAAGTACATTTTGCATATTGCGTTTTGAGCTAATGTTGTTGTTTAGGGTGATAGTGGTGGTCCTGTGGTGATTAATGCCGATTCAGATCCAGTTCATGTAGCTATTGCCAGTTTTGTGAGTGACTCAGGGTGTGAAGCCGGTACTCCTTCTGGGTATACTAGGACGGCGTATTACAGAGAATGGATCAAAACAAATACAGGAGTTTAAATTTGAAACTAATTTTTGAAAGATGTGTTATTCTATAAATAAAAACATATTTAGTTTTCAAACTAATTTGCTTATACTACAAGTCTATTTCAAAAGTCCTCTCTTGGTTTTCGGTAATCAAAAATTCAGAACATCAGAAAAGAAATACCAGGAATTCTTTATGTTCTGTATTTTAAACAGAAGTACCATATGATGAAAAAAATGTCTTTCGTAGGGTATCAAATTGATTTTTAAAATAATAATGTTGGCTTGTAGCTATTTGACACTGTATTTGACAATTGTTTGACCGTAACTGTCAAACTGTACAAGGAACGCGTTGATGTTGCCAACATCATTATTTTATACACGACCTCTTGTCTATTAACTACGGCCTACTCATTCGACCTGAATTTCATTGTTTTTTTGATTCTGAGAAAACGCAAAATTTCGCCACTTTGGCGCCACTTACCCGTTAACCGTCAGTCAATTTTAGACCATCACCTGTCAATTTATAGGTTAACAACAATTAGGAAACACTGGAAATTTTGATTTAAATTTATAATAGATGAAACCATTAAGCTACATGTCCACTTCAGAGGGCGTTTGCGAGAAATAATTCCAAAATCAGCCCGTAAAACCATTGTCGGGCCTGCCCTCAACGTGGGTAAGCGTATCGTTTTTACCTGGTTTCTCCGAGTTTGTGAGCGACTCCCACAGTTACGAACGCATTTCGAAGTGTGACAGTGATTTCAGATGAGTATGTTTTACGTGTATTTTTTTCGTAATAACTGAATTCATTGCAGTAATAGACCTCTGAAATTTGAAATGACAACTTAAGATTAAAGATGGTATAAAATCAAAATCAGAACTCTCTCGTAGAGTTGCTCTCTAATGGACACGTACCCTTACTTCTAGAGAGACAGAATGTAGTGATTAGAAAGAAGACGTTAACATATATTTTTCCTAAGTCGGAAAATTATTTAAAAAGTAAATGGTTGGCCACGCTAAAGAGAATGATTTTTGAAACTTCTGCTAACCAAAGCATAAGCTCTACATTGGTCTACAGTAGGGTGACCTATCAGACGTGACATAAAACGAAACTTTTAAAATACATTGCTCCTACCCCTTCAGTGGGTGCATTCGATTAATACGTAATTGCAGAAAAAAATGTAACACATTTGTTGAACACTAAAAGGTCGCTCAAACTGTTTGAAATTTTAAAACCATTGAATTAATGTATAATCATAAAACACGTATTAAAAAACTTGTATAAAAAACATGACAAAAATTTATCAGTATTTTTTTATCTTAAATGTATTTAGCGGAAGAACTCGTGGAACTTGCATTATTTGATAGCGAAATTTCTTTGGTTCACAAAAATCTAATGGTTAAAGCTCTTACAAAACCACAAAAGAACTCAAGGAAAAAAGCGACAGTTAACCAATCTGAAATGCTGGCAAATAAAATTTCGCTTGACTATTTTGTCGCTGAAAAAACAAAATGCTTCTTCGATAAGCTAGGGTTAAGTTCTAATTTTTTAAATATAGATCCTTTATATTGGGAAAGTGATAATGAATATCAACAAAATGTTGAATGTATCAGTAAACTAAAAGTAGTAAATGTGCTGAGCGAGGTGTGGCGATTGTACAAGAATATAATACTTCATTATCGAAAAACGAAAGTGAGAAACAAAACGTACTACAAGTGGTACAAGCTCATCGAAAAGTCTATCCGAATTGCAACAAAAACACATTGATGAATAATTCAATTAACTGTTTGCTTTAGTTGTACTTATTATACCGTTTTATAATTTGTTAAACTGTGTAATATGTGAAATAGAGTAATCTATATTTTTGGTATTCGTACTATGGTTATTCTCTTTGAGCAACCTTTACAACTTATTTTATATGCATGTGCTTTTATATAGAGTTTTTTTAACTCATTTAGCAACTGTTCCGAAGGTAGGACAGATAATTTTTTCATTTTTAATTTTTGGGTCAGCCTAGTCTACAGTCTGTATTGGGGACAGATACTTTTAAAAATATCTAGATACAGATTGTTTTCCATTTTTTCGAAATGTATCTAGATAACAGATACAAGAAAACATATATTTTTTGAAGCTTTGGCGAATAAAATAACAGAAAACATGTTTATGTATTGTTTAATGAATTTTTTAAAATTAACAACATTTCGAACGTATTGTCACCTAAATTATTTTTTCTTGGTGTCAGAATTTGGTTTCCGCTACTAAACACCCGTTCCACAGGTGCAGAAGGAAAGATTGTGGTATTAAATTTAAAAAATAAACATTTTACTGTAGCATGGTTATTCAAGACTGAAAAATCTTTTCCTTTTTCCTGCAAATAGGCCATCGCTTCGCCGGACCCGTAAGGGCAAGTGTAGTCGTCAAAATGTAAGAATTAACTCCTACGGAAAACTTTCTAGAAAAATTGCAACTTATTTAAACTGGAAAATCCAACAAAATTATACTTGTGGTATCCTTCCTTGTTCGAGGCCCCACGGTAGGGCGACAGATTGTGGTAGCTCAGCGGTTTATTGATAATAAGAAAACAATACAAAGCAAAATATGGGTATGGGTTCTCGGAGTGGTGGCAATTCTCGTCGGGGATGGTGGTGGCTCCTGAGACTCAGAGCGTCGTAGGGGATGACGGCGGCGATGTATGTAGCACAGGGCACCTGGAAAGTGCGACCCTGGAGATGACGACGTCGGCGATGCGGCACAGGGGACCTGGACAGTGCGACCCTGGAGATGACGACGTCGGCGATACGGCACAGGGGACCTAGAGAGTGCGACCCTGGAGATGACGACGTCGGCGGTGCGGCACAGGGGACCTAGAGAGTGCGACCCTGGAGTTGACGACGTCGGCGATGCGGCACAGGGGACCTAGAGAGTGCGACCCTGGAGATGACGTCGTTGAAGCGGCGCAGGGGGACCGTAAAACAGTGCAGCCCTGGTGATAATCTCGAAGCGGCACAGGGGACCGTAACACAGTGCAGCCCTGGTGATGATCTCGAAGCAGCGCAGGGGACCGTAACACAGTGCAGCCCTGGTGATAATATCGAAGCGGCGCAGGGGACCGTAAAACAGTGCAGCCCTGGTGAAGATCTCGAAGCAGCGCAGGGGACCGTAACACAGTGCAGCCCTGGAAACGACCAGAAGGGGACCGAAACAGTGCAACCCTTAAGGTGGAGCTGGTGGAGTTCCATCTCCCTGAAAAGTGGTTACGGTGGCCCTTTTATAGGCAGGGTTGAGATGCGTGGGAGTACCTGCACAATGAAGTAGCTACAGGTGGGGTGCGTTCCAGTGGGGGTGAGCTTGGTGGGGTTGATACCGGCGCTGCCGAGGACAGCGCCCTCGAGAGGGTACTAGCGGAGCGCTTTGAAAGCTCCGCTACATACTCCATATTCATTTCGTCGCACGTCGGCAATTTTTGTGATTAATGCAGGTATTGTGTAGTGCGTTTATATTTATGCAGGACATGTTACTTCATTAAAGCGATACGGAGGATAGGAACCGTCAAAGGTGGTGAAGTTTTATATAGAAGAATCATTTGCAGAAAGAGTAAAGATGGTTACACTATACTTTTAATATTTTGTGAAAATATTGTAAAAATAAAGAATAAAACCTTTCTTGAATAACATGCAGAACCTTAAACTGCTATAAAATACATTGCCATAGACGACTTATTTTATAGCTAAAATCGTATTTTATGAAAATCAAAACGAAGGTACTTCTAGAATAAAATCACTCCAGGAAATTTTTGAAGAGTGTAGGGCCCCAAATTTCTCTTTTTCAAACTGTAGTGTAAAAATAAATTTTGGTAATAATAAAAAAAATGCAAAATAATGTCAATAATAATAATTGATTTTACAATATTGTAATTACAATTTACAGTTATTGTAATCGAAGAAAAAGTATAGTATGCAACGGGGTTGGCATGGCTATTCTGAACTCGTAGGACCGACTCCAATTTTTTACTCGTGCAGAATATGCCACATTCCAACCACTTGCAGTATACTGCCGCACTTATGCGAATATAGTGCCTTGATCAGGCAGATGAACTTTGCAGCTTGCATAACTAATTTGATTCTTATAATCATTTGTCCAAAATGTTATCACAGATACTATCTCGTTTTAAATAAAATCACGCCGGATGCGGTGTGTCTATTAAATTGAATTCAATCCCTTAGATATACATCTCAAGTATGTCTACAGAAAAAACGTGAAATGTGATAAGTACAAAAATCACTTTAAATGCTACTATAAAAGAGTCGGCTATCCAGAAGACAGTAAACAGTCAGTAAACAAAATGTTTCGCTTTGCCTTTCTTTATTTGTGCGCATCATCAGTCTGGGCTTTGTCTTCCCCAGCAGGTATTTACAAGGTGCCGCCCTTTAAACTTAATGGTTAGTCTTTTACAGTTTTTGTTATACAGATAGGTATCAAATGATAATTAAATTATTCCCAGGTCCCAGAATTATTAACGGAGAGCAAGCCGCGGAAGGACAATTTCCTTGGCAAGTTGGGTTGAACGTAAACGGCTTTTGGTTTTGCGGAGGCAGTATAATCAGTGAAGAATGGATCCTAACTGCTGGCCATTGCGTCGACGGGTAAGTCAGAGCACATTATCCAAAACTATAACAATTATTTGATTTATCAGGGCTGAATCGGCTGAAGTCGTAATTGGATCCACTGATATAGATGCCGGCGAAACTGTAACAGCCTCTCAATTTATCCTTCACGAAGACTATGATGGAGATCTAATCGCGAATGATATTGGATTAATCAAGCTTGACAAACCTTTGACTCTGAGTGGTAAGACCCACAAGATGTAATCGTATACTACAGTTAATATGTAAAATTTTGATGTAGGAAATATCGCTGCAGTCAACTTGGCTTCTGAAGAACTTAATGCCGACGTTGATGTTACGGTCAGCGGTTGGGGTCTTACCAGCGATGGTTAGAAAATCAAAAAGACAGTTTTTAGATCACAATCATTATTTTGTTTTCTTAGATTCACTTTTTATAAGCCAATACCTGAATTTCGTTGAATTGGTTACCATTACTAACGAAAAATGTGGAGAGACGTATGGACAAGACTTAATTCGACCTGAAATGGTTTGTGCTACCTCTCCTGTATCTCAAGTTAAAAGCACTTGCAGTGTAAGTACATTTTGCATATTGCGTTTTCAGCTAATGTTGTTGTTTAGGGTGATAGTGGTGGTCCTGTGGTGATTAATGCCGATTCAGATCCAGTTCATGTAGCTATTGCCAGTTTTGTGGGTGACACAGGGTGTGAAGCCGGTACTCCTTCTGGGTATACTAGGACGGCGTATTACAGAGAATGGATCAAAACAAATACAGGAGTTTAAATTTGAAACAAATTTTTGAAAGATGTGTTATTCTATAAATAAAAACATATTTAGTTTTCAAACTAATTTGCTTATACTACAAGTCTATTTCAAAAGCCCTCTCTTGGTTTTCGGTTATCAAAAATTCAGAACATCAGAAAAGAAATACCAGGAATTCTTTGTGTTCTGTATTTTAAACAGAAGTACCATATGATGAAAAAAATGTCTTTCGTAGGGTATCAAATTGATTTTTTAAAATAATAATGTTGGCTTGTAGCTATTTGACACTGTATTTGACAATTATTTTACCGTAACTGTCAAACTGTACAAGGAACGCGTTGATATTACCAACATCATTATTTTATACACGACTTCTTCTCTATTAACTACGGCCTGCTCATTCGACTTCAATTTCATTGTTTTTTTTCTGAGAAAACGCAAAATTTCGCCACTTTGGCGCCACTTACCCGTTAACCGTGAGTCAATTTTAGACCATCAACTGTCAATTTATAGGTTAACAACAATTAGAAAACACTGGAAATTTTGATTTAAATTTATAATAGATGAAACCATTAAGCTACATGTCCACTTCAGAGTGCGTTTGCGAGAAATAATTCCAAAATCAGCCCGTAAAAGCACTGTCGGGCCTGCCCTCAACGTGGGTAAGCGTATCGTTTTTACCTGGTTTCTCCGAGTTTGTGAGCGACTCCCACAGTTACGAACGCATTTCGAAGTGTGACAGTGATTTCGGATGAGTATGTTTTTACGTGTATTTTTTTCGTAATAATTGAATTCATTGCAATAATAGACCTCTGAAATTTGAAATGACAACTTAAGATTATAGATGGTATAAAATCAAAATCAGAACTCTCTCGTAGAGTTGCTCTCTAATGGACACGTAGCCTTACTTCTAGAGAGACAGAATGTAGTGATTAGAAAGAAGACGTTAACATATACTTTTCCTAAGTCGTAAAATTATTTAAAAAGAAAATGGTTGGCCACACTAAAGAGAATGATTTTTGAAACTTCTGCTAACCAAAGCATAAGTTCTACATTGGTCTACAGTCTGTGTTGGGGACAGATACTTTTAAAAATATCTAGATACAGATTGTTTTCGATTTTTTCGAAATGTATGTAGATAACAGGTACAAGAAAACAGATATTGTTTGAAGCTTTGGCGAATAAAATAACAGAAAACATGTTTATGTATTGTTTAATGAATTTTTTAAAATTAACAATATTTCGAACGTATTGTCACCTAAATTATTTTTTCTTGGTGTCAGAATTTGGTTTCCGCTACTAAACACCCGTTCCACAGGTGACGAAGAAGAGATTGTGGTATTAAATTTAAAAAATAAACATTTTACTGTTGCATAGTTATTCACGACTAAAAAATCTTTTCTTTTTTCCTGCAAATAGGCCATCGCTTCGCCGGACCCGTAAGGGCAAGTGTAGTCGTCAAAATGTAAGAATTAACTCCTACAGAAAAATTTCTAGAAAAATTGCAACTTATTTAAATTGGAAAATCCAACAAAGTTATACTCCTTATTCATTTCGTCGCACGTCGGCAATTTTTTTGATTAATGCAGGTATTTTGTAGTCCGTTTATATTTATGCAGGACATGTTACTTCATTAAAGCGATACGGAGGATAGGAACCGTCAAAGGTGGTGAAGTTTTATATAAAAGAATCATTTGCAGAAAGAGCAAAGATGGTCACACTATACTTTTAATATCTTGTGAAAATATTCTAAAAATAAAGAATAAAACCTTTCTTGAATAACATGCAGAAGCTTAAACTGCTGTAAGATATATTGCCATAGACGACTTATTTTATAGCCAAAATCGTATTTTATGAAAATCAAAACGAAGGTACTTCTAGAATAAAATCACTCCAGGAAATTTTTGAAGAGTGTAGGGCCCCAAATTTCCCTTTTTCAAACTGTAGTGTAAAAATAAATTTTGGAAATAATAAAAAAAAATGCAAAATTAATGTCAATAATTATTGATTTTACAACATTGTAATTACAATTTACAGTTATTGTAATCGTAGAAAAAGTATAGTATGCAACGGGGTTGGAATGGCTATTCTGAACTCGTAGAACCGTCTCAAATTTTTCACTCGTGCAGAATATGCCAGATTCCAACCACTTGCAGTAATACTGCTGCACTTATGCGTATATAGTGCCTTGATCAGGCAGATAAACTTTGCAGCTTGCATAACTAATTTGATTCTTATAATCATTTGTCCAAATTGTTATCATAGATACTATCTCGTTTTAAATAAAATCACGCCGGATGCGGTGTGTCTATTAAATTGAATTCAATCCCTTAGATATACATCTCAAGTATGTCTACAGAAAAAACGTGTAATGTGATAAGTACAAAAATCATTTAAAATGCTACTATAAAATAGTCGGCTATCATGAAGAAACAGTCAGTAAGCAAAATGTTTCGCTTTGCCTTTCTTTGTTTGTGGGCATCATCAGTCTGGGCTTTGCCTTCCCCAGCAGGTGTTTACAATGTGCCGCCCTTTAAACTTAATGGTCAGTCTTTTACAGTTTTTGTTATGCAGATAGATATTAAATGATAATTAAATTATTCCCAGGTCCCAGAATTATTAACGGAGAGCAAGCCGCGGAAGGACAATTTCCTTGGCAAGTTGGGTTGAACGTAAACGGCTTTTGGTTTTGCGGAGGCAGTATAATCAGTGAAGAATGGATCCTAACTGCTGGGCATTGCGTGGACGGGTAACTCAGAGCACATTATCCAAAACTATAACAATTATGTATTTGATTTATCAGGGCTGAATCGGCTGAAGTCGTAATTGGATCCACTGATATAGATGCCGGCGAAATTGTAACAGCCTCTCAATTTATCCTTCACGAAGATTATGACGGAGATCTAATCGCGAATGATATTGGATTAATCAAGCTTGACAAACCTTTGACTCTGAGTGGTAAGACCCACAAGATGTAACCGTATACTACAGTTAATATGTAAAATTTTGATGTAGGAAATATCGCTGCTGTCAACTTGGCTTCTGAAGAACTTAATGCCGACGTTGATGTTACGGTCAGCGGTTGGGGTTTCACCAGCGATGGTTAGAAAAATCAAAAAGACAGTTTTTAGTATCACAATCATTATTTTGCTTTCTTATTAGATTCACTTTTTATAAGTCAATACCTGAATTTCGTGGAATTGGTTACCATAACTAACGAAAAATGTGGAGAGACGTATGGACAAGATTTAATTCGACCTGAAATGGTTTGTGCTACTTCTCCTGTATCTCAAGTTAAAAGCACTTGCAGTGTAAGTACATTTTGCATATTGTGTTTTCAGCTAATGTTGTTGTTTAGGGTGATAGTGGTGGTCCTGTGGTGATTAATGCCGATTCAGATCCAGTTCATGTAGCTATTGCCAGTTTTGTGGGTGACACAGGGTGTGAAGCCGGTACTCCTTCTGGGTATACTAGGACGGCGTATTACAGAGAATGGATCAAAACAAATACAGGAGTTTAAATTTGAAACTAATTTTTGAAAGATGTGTTATTCTATAAATAAAAACATATTTAGTTTTCAAACTAATTTGCTTATACTACAAGTCTATTTCAAAAGCCCTCCCTTGGTTTTCGGATATCAAAAATTCAGAACATCAGAAAAGAAATACCAGGAATTCTTTGTTCTGTATTTTAAACAGAAGTACCATATGATGAAAAAAAGGTCTTTCGTAGGGTATCAAATTGATTTTTAAAATAATAATGTTGGCTTGCAGCTATTTGCTATTTCACACTGTATTTGACAATTGTTTGACCGTAACTGTCAAACTGTACAAGGAACGCGTTGATGTTGCCAACATCACTATTTTATACACGACCTCTTTTCTATTAACTACGGCCTGCTCATTCGACCTGAATTTCATTGTTTTTTTGATTCTGAGAAAACGCAAAATTTCGCCACTTTGGCGCCACTTACCCGTTAACCGTCAGTCAATTTTAGACCATCACCTGTCAATTTATAGGTTAACAGCAATTAGGAAACACTGGAAATTTTGATTTAAATTTAAAATAGACGAAACCATTAAGCCACATGTCCACTTCAGAGGGCATTTGCGAGAAATAATTCCAAAATCAGCCCGTAAAACCATGGTCGGGCCTGCCCTCAACGTGGGTAAGCGTATCGTTTTTACCTGGTTTCTCCGAGTTTGTGAGCGACTCCCACAGTTACGAACGCATTTCGAAGTGTGACAGTGATTTCGGATGAGTATGTTTTACGTGTATTTTTTTCGTAATAATTGAATTCATTGCAATAATAGACCTCTGAAATTTGAAATGACAACTTAAGATTAAAGATGGTATAAAATCAAAATCAGAACTCTCTCGTAGAGTTGCTCTCCAATGGACACTTACCCTTACTTCTAGATAGACAGAATGTAGTGATTAGAAAGAAGACGTTAACATTTACTTTTCCTAAGTCGTAGTATTTTTTCGAAATGTATCTAGATAACAGATACAAGAAAACAGATACTTTTTGAAGCTTTGGCGAATAAAATAACTGAAAACATGTTTATGTATTTTTTTATGTATTGTTTAATGAATTTTTTTAAATTAACAACATTTCGAACGTATTGTCACCAAAATTATTTTTTCTTGGTGTCAGAATTTGGTTTCCGCTTCTAAACATCCGTTCCACAGGTGCAGAAGAAGAGATTGTGGTATTAAATTTAAAAAATAAACATTTTACTGTAGCATAGTTATTCAAGACTGAAAAATTTTTTCATTTTTCCTGCAAATAGGCCATCGCTTCGCCGGACCCGGGTTGCTCAGGTACACAGATAAAATACATTGTCCCGACAAGCATAAAACGCAGTGAATAGTAAATTGTGGTTTATGGTTTTTAAAATACCATCTTACCATGGCTTAGATTTATTACCCCTCAGGATTATATTTATAGTATAAGTACTGAAGGCTACAATGTAGGAAATGATGGTATTTAAAATATGAAAATATCCGTGACAGAACACTATTGGGGGACCTCTTATCTCTATTTTTGTTTATGTGACCAAAATCACCAACATGAAGTATCAAAAATTACTACTAGTATAATTCAACTAATAACTACTGAAAAACAAGTGAAATAAAAAAATGTATCTGTATCTGCGCCATTAATTTTTTATCTAGATACAGATATTTTGTGCGTAAATTCGATTTTATCTAGATACAGATAGTAGATATCCAAAAATATATCTAGATACTTTATTTAGATACAAGTATCTAGATACTGCCCAACACTGTCTACAGTTATTGTAGTTGATGATAATTATTAAAATACAGATTGTCAGTTAATGCATATTATCTTTCACTGTGCAAATTACATTTTAGCGAAGCAGACTTTGAAACAAGCTATTTTCATGAGATGTCTGGACGGTTTCTTTAGTTCATCCACCATTGAAGCAGGGTGACAATAACTGTTACATACAGAATCAGTTTATAGAAGTGAAACTACTAAATTTGCTAAAACTTTACAAAAGGTTCGCACAAACTGTTTGCACACAACTCTTCTAGAGCACCCCCTGATCACCACAGCTGATCACGTTCCTCACCTTCAAATGTTGTGCAAATGCTTCCTTTTGCCACAAAAAAATATTAAATTTCCCATTTGTACACTCTAATGGGAAGCTGTTACCAACATACCAACATAACCTAACTCTTTATAGTCACCAACACGTGGGGGTGTAATGTCGGGTTTTTAATGGACATACGGGCGCTTCGCGCCCTGCACTCCAATACAAACATATCCTTAAACGTGGAACTTCTTATCTTACTCCGTGGATCATTTTGCATCTGTATTTGGTTGCCTACATTTGGCGCAACTAATAGTGTGGAAACCATAGGGCGAACATTTAAATCTTTTTTTTGTGGCATAAGGAAGCATTTGCACAACATTTGAAGGTGAGAAACGTGATCAGTGAGTGCTGTAGCAGAGTTTTGTACAAAATCGCGAGGTGCCTTTTTGTATAGGTTCACCCTAAATTTTATTACCACGTAAGCTGTATTTATAATACATCATGGTTCAAGAAATTTCAAACCATCAGCACTAAGGTTAATAGTTCGCAAATTTAATCAATTAGTCACACATTTAATGAATAAAGTTTCTATAAACTGATCTACAGTCTTCTTTGCTGCAATACATATTTGTCTGCAATAATAACATAATAATGTTTACATTTACGACATCCAACATCTATCTACACACGAAATCTTGGAGCTTGTAAATAGAGGTGGCATCTATTATTTACTCTAATTTATAACTTGATATTTATAAGACTGTAATTTTAGAATGTTTCTGGTATTTAACCAAACTTACAGTGGTACAACCCTTAATAATATAAAATATTATTATGCATATGCTTTACCCCATCCATCAATTTTCTGGAATATTTCCTTTCAAAGTGGGCCTATCTCCCCCTTCCTTTCTAGAAAATTCTGAAAAAAGATTGAAATTCTGGTGGTTGCAATTGCTGCCAGATTAGAGCGTGACACTGAATTTCAAAAGAAGTAGAAATTTGAAAGCATTTTGGAATTGTATGCGAAATTACAACAACTTGACGAAGGAAGTTGGTAAGGCATAAAAAAACAACAATCACTTTATAGGGTCAATTCTGAATCAAACATATTAAAATTTAAAGGTTGTTAAAAAATAAACGGGAACCAGATTTACGAATTTAACTCGTTACAATGCAAATTTGCAATTTAACCCCATTTAAATTTAACAGGTTTGATTCAGAATTGCCCATTATATATCATTTATTTTAAAGAGTCAGACTTTTCAAGCTTAAAATGTACAGTCAAGATTTAAAATGAAATCGAAGTTTCCCACAGCTGTAATAGTAATAGTAATAGTAATAGTAATTTATTATTCAACGGGACCATGCCCAGTTACAGAATAATATTAAAAATAATATATATAAACATGAAAATAACAAAAATATTGACAGAAAAAAAAACATTAAATTAAATTAATTGTCGCAATTTGTTGATCATGACTTTGTGACTATCATGAAAGATGTCGTTGGTGACTTCTAGCGAGTTATAAGAGCAGCACATAAAAAATATCGGCGTCTTCTTCATGTAGTTTGTCCTGCATTTGGGTAGATAAAAAGTTTGGAACCTTCTGAAATTTTTAGACGGCACATGAATTCTAACATCGGCAAGCAAATCAGGCGTATCAACTAGACAATGTATAACCTTATATAGTACAGAAATAGCTGAGGTTTTTCTTCTAACTGCGAGAGCTTGCATTTTAAATCTACGGAGCAGTTGTTCTTCTGGGTAACGCCGTGGTGGATAGGCACCGTCACATTTGTAAGATAGGTATTTCATAAATCTTCTCTGTACCTTTTCAATAGATTGTATGTGACATTGATCAGTGGGAGACCAAACAACTGAGCAGTATTCGACGATGGACCTAACGTAGCTAAAATATAGTAATTTAGTACATTCTATATCAAAAACACTCGAATTACGGATTAAAAATCCTGTGATTTTAGATGCTTTTGCTACAATGTATTTATAATGCTCAGTGAAGGAAAGTTTTATGTCAAAAATAACTCCCAGATCTTTAACTGTATCCACCCGCTCTATAGTAGTATCTTTAATGCTGTATTGGGTGAGAAGTACATTATTTTTATTGGAATAAGACACTACCTTGCATTTGTTTAAAGATAACTGAAGTCTGTTTCTGTCGGACCACGAATGTAATAAATCGATATCACGCTGCAAAGAGATACAATCGTATACATCCCTTATAATCCTGAAAATTTTGACATCATCGGCATACATTAAAATTTTGTTGTTGATATAATTCGGTAATTCATCGATAAACAAGACGAACAAAAGTGGACCAAGATTCGAACCTTGGGGTATGCCGGAACAAACTGAGTACGAAGCTGACTTAAAACCTCCAAACGAGACATGCTGGGAGCGTCCAATAATGTAACTTCTCAGCAACTCAACAAGTTTGTGTTCAAACCCAAGCATCTCTAGCTTGTGTATCAGGATATGGTGATCAATAGTATCGAAAGCATGATGAAAATCGAAGTAAATAACATCAACTTGTTCACCTGCGTCTAAAGCACTAAGAGAGAATTGTGTAAACTGAACTAAGTTGGTTAGCGTGGAGCGTCCTTTCATAAAACCGTGTTGAGCTAATGAAGTGTAATTGCAAACCTGACAGTAAATCTTATTGTATAGAATAATTTCAAGTACCTTAGAGAAATTACACAAGATAGAAATGGGTCTGTAGTTCGACACATCTGAGTAATCACCTTTTTTGTGCACCGGAGACACCCGAGCTTCCTTCCAGAGATTAGGAAATTGACCATTCTGTATGCAAAGGTTAAATAAGTAAGCAAGAGGTTGAGCAAAGACGGTGGCACAATCTTTTACTAAAAAGGCGGGGATAGCATCAATTCCGGCGGTAAACTTATTTTTCAATTTTCTGCAGGCGGCAATGACTTCGTCAGATGTTACCCGTGAAATGTTGACATTTAATGGGTTGGGAATATTGTACTTGAATGTGCTGG